CCCAAAACCCAAAACCCTAACCCCCAAAAACCCTAAACCCCAAAACACCCAAATCCCAAAACCCCAAAAACCCAAACCCTAATAAGCCCGATTAGGGGTTCATGGTACTTAATGCAGGGCCTCCACAAGCTTCCGGGCAGTCTCGAGCCCATCCACAAACTTCGTGATGTCTTGCAGCACTGCCGATCGTAGCGCCAACGGCCTCATCTGTTTTTTCTAACTAGGATATCACACAGAATCGAATGAATTTATATAAATGAGGTTTGATGTTGAGGCCCTTACGTGCTGGAGTTTGCAAGGAGCGCATCCCAGCTCCTGCATTCCAAAATCTGGTCTGCCGCTGTCTTCATGACCTTAGATGATTGTGTGACACATACAATTATGAATGTAGCCAGGTGGTGTGTGAATCTATTTGCAACCCAAGGACCTTCTTTGCCTCCTGCACCGCATTCTTCACACGTGGCTCCTGCAGCTCTGCATCCTTGCCCTTTCCAGCAGCCTTGCCATCACCCTTAGCAGCATCACCACGGCCACCTTTGCCCTTCTTGCCCTGCCCTTTGCCTCGCCCAGCACCTTTGCCCCTGCAAGTTCCATCGGTGCTTGCTCCCGGCAAGGCTGCTGGTGCTGGCATGGCCGGCATGCTGCTTGCAAGTCCAGGCCCCAGATTCGCTCGGTTTGCCCTGAAAGACAGTTTTGATAAACCCTTTAATTAGGCTTGAATTGGGGATTGGCACTTAGGGCTTAGTAACAAGGCTACAGGTCACAAAAATAGTTGTTAGTTTTGGCTAATGGCAGAGCATGACCAGCAGTTTCATTGTCGATGTTGCCCGTGCGGTTGATCTCCAGCCCAGTGACGGATGCAGTCTCATGAAGCTCACGGGACGCATCCCAACACAGATAAAGCCGCATGGCCTGATCAGACAAAATATTATCATACAAACCCCTAGGGCCTTGGAACCCATAGTACTATCACAACCTCTAGAATCTTAGATGCCACCATTTATAACTTATAACTAACTGGCCTGCCGGTCAGGGTTGGACTCATAGAGTCCAGCTTCCTCCTGAATCAGGTGCTTGGTCTTTTTTTATTAAAAAAAGGGGGTTTGAGTGGGATCAGATCAAAGGGTTCATCCACACATATAAGATTGCAATCAGTTTGTTGGGTTAAATGTACACATCATTTCTGTTTCATAGAACCTGTATAATAAGGGGTTTCGTGTTAGGGTTTTATTACTTCAGCTGGCTCTGAAGTTAAAGTTGAATGGCTGGGTCTAGGGTTTAGGGTTAAGGGCTTCGGGTTAGGTATCTATATACATCATAAGTGATTCTAGGGTTTAGGGTTAAGGGGCTTAGGGTACCCCGGTTTCGGGCGCTAGATACCTATATAGAACCTTGTCCAATATATAGGTCGTAGGTGATCCCCGTTCCCCAACTTTAAATACTAGCCCACCTTGTCTTGAATAATACCATCGACGACTTCCGTGTCGCCGTGGTATTTTTCGAGGAGGTCCTCAGATTAACACCAAAAGCCCAAAACCCCTAAACCTTGTTACCCTAAACCCCAAACCCCTAAACCCTCAACATGTAAACCCC